ATGCGGCCTAGTGGAGTGATGAGCTCTCCTGTAGTACCTGGTTTGAAAGTGGATGCCCTCATCCCCGCACGTGTTGAGGTGCCAGGATTGTGGCGAGCAAATAGGGTAGGGCCTGATTGGATGGTCCTGTACCCACCTCCGTTCTACCGCACGAGATGTCATCAACTGATCATCGCTGTCGGTTAAGCGCTCAGGCTCCACACTCGCGTGCATGTGAGCACTCCTGTCGCTCTGCAAAGTTACGTTCCCGCACAACTTAGGTTTTGCAAAAAACCTTCTCATCGTCCAACGGGGAGGAGGCGCCCTGAACACCGTCACAGCTCTAGAATTTTTACCGACGAAATCAGTGTAGTCTGATAAGCATGCCTCAAGCCCTGGGCAGGAAGACTTGACATTCAAAGCAGTATACTTTTAGTTCAACAAGAAAATCCAGGACCTGCTTTGCGCGAATGGGTATCCGGAGAGATTTGCTAGAAAGAATATGACTGTGGGACAAGTAAAACTCACCACACTCACTGTGGAAAAGAGCGCGTTATTCCTCAAAGTCCTCTTTCACGAGGAGGCAGCAAGTTAACCCCTAGGAAGACGCCTTGACCAAGCCGTGTCACGAACAGTCCCAGCAGCGAGAGTTCGGGTAGGATCCCCAACCAAGCCGGTCTTGCACGAAGAAGGCAAGGACAGGTGGGCAGTAGTAACTACGGGTTTAGATTCGGCCACTGCTATCATCGGCGGTCGCCGGGTTGGAGTATAGGTAACCGAATATAACAAATAAGTTGAAACCTTTGTTGATGAGCGCTCAGCGATCAATAACGAAACGCACTCGTCCCGTTCTGCATTGGGGCAGACTTTTGAGCCCCGCCATCAGCTGCACAGCACCTGTTAGTATAGACAGATGAGCATTATCGACAAAGACGAGGGAGACTGGAATGGCCATTTCTAGCTCTGTAACTGTCATCAGCCCATCATACTCAACCCCGGGCGATGCAACACCCAAGGCTCGAACTCACAACCTCCC